ACCAACAGCAAAGGAAGACCTTTCTCTCTGTCTCTCTCTCTCTCACTGTCCACTCTGCCTGTCAAAAAAAAAAAATGTTTGGTAGAATTCAGCAGTGAATCCGTCCTGTCCTGGGCTTGGTTGGGAGGGACTTTATTACTGATTCAATTTCTGTCTCAGTTATGGGTCTGTTTAGGTTTTCTGTGTCTTCATGGTTCAATTTAGGTAGGTTGCATGTGTCTAGGAATCGATCCATTTCTGATAGATTTCCCTGTTTGCTGGCATACAACTATTTGTAGTAATTTCTGATGATTCTTTTTATTTCTCTGGTGTGTGTTGTTTTGTTCCCGTTTTCATCTCTGATTTTATTGATTTGGGTCTTTTTTTATTCAGTTAATTGGGTCAATGGTGTGTTAATTTTGTTTATTTTTTTTAAAAAAACCCAGCTCTTCATTTTGCTGATCTTTTGTAATGTTTTTTTTGGATTCAATCCTGTTGATTTCTTCTCTGATATTAATTATTTCTCTTCTATTAGTTTTGGGTCTGGTTTGCTGCAGTTTTTCTAAATCCTTGAGATGCAATGAAAGCTCATTTATTTGGTGCCTTTCCAATTTCTTGATGTAGGCACCTATTGCTATAAACTTTCCTCTTAACACTGCTTTTGTTGTATCCCATAAGTTTTGGTATGTTGTGCTGTTATCCTCATATACTTCCAGAAAGTTTTTGATTTCTCTTTTGATTTCTTCTATGACCCAGTGTTCATTCAGGAGCATGTTGTTCAGTCTTCATGTGTTTGCATATGTTCTAGGGCTTCCTGAGTTGCTAATTTCCAGCTTCATTCCACTGTCGTCTGAGAAGCTGCATTGTATGATTCCAATTCTTTTGAATTTTCTGAGACGTGCTTTATAGCCTTGTATGTGGTCAATCCTAGAGTAGGTTCCATGTACTTCTGAGAAGAATGTAAATTCTTTAGATGTAGGATTGAAAGTTCTGTAGATATCTGTTAGATCCATTTGGGCTGTAGTGTCGATTAAATCTGCTGTTTCCTTGTTGATCTTCTGTTCGGTTGATCTGTCTATTTCTGAGAGTGGAGTTTTAAAGTTCCCCAATACTATTGTGTTGGAGTCTAAGTCTCCCTTTAAGTCCCTTAACATATCTTTTCAATAAACCGGTTCCATGTAATTAGGTGCATATACATTTATAATAGTTACATCTTCCTGTTGAATTGATTCCTTAATCATTATATAGTGCCCTTCTTTGTCTCTCTTAACAGTTTTTGTGTTAAAGTTTATTTTGTCTGATATTCAGATGGCTACACCAGCTTTTTTTGTTTGTTTGTTTCTGTTGGCATGGAATATCTTTTTCCAACCTTTCACTTTCAGTCTGCATGCATCTTTGTTGGAAAGATGTGTTTCTTGTAAGCAGCAAATAGATGGGTTTTGTTCCTTAATCCATTCAGCCAGTCTGTGCCTTTTAACTGGAGATTGAGGCCATTAACATTCAATGTGACTATTGATAAGTAGTAACTTTGCCCTGCCATTTTCCCAAAGATATTTCTAATATATGCTTTGAACTTCCTGTGATCTTTTACTGGAAGGTTTCCTTCCTTTACCTTCTTTCATATTGATGGCTGTGTTTCTGTGTTTCTGTGGGTAATACATCTTTAAGCATCTTGTGCAGGGCTGGACGAGTGGTGACAAATTCTCTCAATTTCTGTTTGCTATGAAAAGTCTTTATTTCACCTTCATTCACAAATGAGAGCTTTGCAGGATATAATATTCTGGGCTGGCAGGTTTTTTCTCTTAGTACCTTGGCTGTGTCTCGCCATTCCCTCCTAGCCTGTAGTGTTTCTGATGAGAAGTCAGCTGTGAGTCTAATTGGAGATCCTCTGAGAGTAATCTGACGTTTCTCTCTTGCACATTTTAGAATCTTTTCTTTATGTTTCACTGTGGTGAGTTTGATTACAACGTGTCGTGGTGAGGATCTCTTTTGGTCATGTTTACTGGGGGTTCTATGTGCTTCCTAAACTTGGATGTTCCTGTCCTTCTCCAAACCCAGGAAGTTTTCTGCTAGTATCTCACTAAAAAGGCCTTCTAATCTTTTTTCTCTCTCCATGCCTTCAGGAACTCCTAGAACCCGAATGTTGGTTTTTTAAATAGTATCCTATAGATTCCCAACAATATTTTTTAGATTCCTAATTTCCTCTTCTTTTCTTTGGTTTGACTGTATACTTTCCTATGCTCTGTCTTCCAAGTCTGATATTCTCTCTTCTGCTTCACTGACTCTGTTTTCAAGGCTCTCTAATGCGTTTGTCATTTGTTCCATTGAATTCTTCATTTCATTTTGATTCCTTCTTAAGATTTCATTTTCACAAGAGAGATTTTCTATCCTGTCCAGTATGGATTTCTGTAGTACATTAATTTGTTTTTGAGAACTTCTAAATGTTCTTATAATAAATTTTTTGAAATCCATATCTTACATTTCTTCTATCTCATCATCTTCATAATCTTGTATTGGAGTGTCATGTTCATTTGGGGGCGTCATAATGTCTTCTTTGTTCTTGTTTCCTCGGTTTCTGCATTTGTTGTTTGGCATTGTGGAGATATTCTTTTGTTTCTTCTTCTTCTGTTTTCCTTGCTGTGGTGGCTTTTCTCATTATACTATGACTCTAGATTAAGTGGACTGTCTGCTTTTGGTGAATCTCCAGAGGCTCATGGTGAGTGTGGCCAGAGAGCTCTGTTCAGTTCTGTTCTTCAGGGTTAAGGGTATGCCAGAGGTGACACACCCAGGCTTGGTGTGGTAAATCTCTCTTTTTTTTATTCAGAAGGGGAGTAATTCTGCTCAGCTGAGCTATTTTCCTTGAAGGCAATCAGTGCCTGAGCACTAGCCCCAGTGGGTATAATATTCGTCAGCTCTGTCCCAAGGACCACACAAAGGATCTCTGTAGTCCTCAGTGTAAGCTCGGATTCCCCTGCTGTGTCTCCCACCGGGTTGCCAAGGTTACTGAGATTGTGGCATCTCCCACCGAGAGTATGTCTCAGTTACACCATGAGTTCTCCCACACACCCTCAGTTATTTTTTTTTTCACAGTCCCAGTTCATAAGCTCCACACATTCACTACGTCTTAACCTCCTGTTATTTCTCCCCACCAGAGTCACGTTTTACTGCTTGGCTGAGGGCAGGCACAGCCCTGAGCTGGTGCAGCTGTTACATTATGTCCAAAATGGCGCCTGCTGTAATGTTTTCCCCACCTTTTTGAGGTGGATGGAGAGAGAGGATTGTGTCCGTACCAGTCCTTTTTATTTATTTTTTCTCTCCTCTAGTTAGGCTGGTGAACTTTCCCCCACGGGGCTCCAAGCCTAGTTCCCTCTAGACTCTTCCTGCCACTTTTCCGTCAGTGTTCCCGGCTACTGCAGTTTCACCTCCCTTTCCAGTGCTGGTGCGTAGACTCGGCGGCTGGGGTCCCAAGCTGTGGGCGCCCGTGCCCTCCACATAGGTCCACTGTGTCCCGCTAGTTCTGGAAGAGTTTCCTCTGCAGTTTTTTCCCTAACTCTTCCCTGAGACTACAGTATCTCCACATTTATTAAACTGTCTTTTCCCAGACTATCAGTGTGCTCCCTCCCTATTCTGCCATCTTGGAACTCTCGCCCAAACTCTTAACAATTGGAAGTGCTTACCTAAAAGTTGTAAAATTACCCATTAAAAAAGTGCTTTCTTCCCCAGAGTAGAAGCTGTTCTTCCCTAGCCTTGAGAGGCCTTACCCTCAGGCAGATATCTGATGATATGCTAAAGCTGACCTCAAGCCAACAATTTGACTTTTTGGGTTTGAGTTATTGGGAAGGTGGGAAGACCTGTTAGGCAGCTTTTCCCTTTCCTTCTCCATGTTCCTGTAGGTGATTACTTGCTTTCCTTGCACCCAATAGTTACCTTCTTTGATGTCCCAAGACCCTACTCCCTGGGACATGCCCTGTTGGCCACTCCTGGGAGGGGTTCTTTCACCAGCACTATGACTCCTGTCGTACTTTCTGGGAGTATGGCCCTCTGAAATATTTCCCCCTTCATTGAAGGATGTGAACTTATTATTATGAAGTTTTATAGTTAAATGGAACCCTACTAAACATTAAAAATAGGTGGCTTGGCAGTATGCACTACAGCTTGGCTTGGACAATACTGTATTTGTATCGCTCTGTGTCTCCTTGCTGTATTACACATTTGTCAGCTCTATAGCATACATTTCTTTCTATGCTTCTAATTTTTTATGAAACCATAAAAATTTCTGTTAAGACAGAGAAATTACTGTGTTTAAAAAGGAGAATTGATCATTTACTATTGCAGATAGATGAAAACTGAGTAATTTTAATAGTATTCATTATTCTCTTTTTCTGGAAGTCAGAGACAGCTCTGATTATGAGATTAATAAAAAGTTATGTGCTCTTTTCCTTTGATTAGATTCCTAAAACTTTGACTTGACTGAATTTGAATAGCATTTTTCTTTTTTTGTGGATATCTGGCAGCTTTGTTGAAATACTTCTAACTTATTTCAAAGCAAAAGATGCATCCTTTAAGATGTCAAAATACTTAACCTGGGGATATGTTGAGGAGTCTATGGGTTGAATTCAGAGGGTCCAAGCATTGGAGGGGAAAAGTGCTTTTGAAGTACAGTTTCTAATTCTGAAAAGACAGATATTGCTGATACCTTTCATACACGTTTTTATAACAAGTTACAGTTGTTGCAGGTGTCTCAAATTATTACCGTCATCACTGTTTCAGCCTAATGGTATTTTGTGTTATTGAGGATTAAATACTAATTATTAATTAATATGCACTGATTCCTAGCTGATATACTTATCATGATGTACATGTATTACTCATTAACAAAGTTGTGGGGTTTGATATTTGCTTTGACATTATTAGTTCTATGTATTTTGTATATCCTTTTAAAAACATAATTTAGAGGAATCTTAGGATTTCTCATGTGTGTTCTTCCTGCCTATAACCTGTTTGTTTTTCTCCTTTTGCAGCATCAGCCACTACGTGATTGTCATGTCCATGACCATCTTTCTGGTGTTTCTCAATGGCCTGGCACAGGTGCTCACGACAAAGAAACTCAGACTACGTGGTAAACCCAAAAGCCATCACATGTGATGTTATTGAAGCCATCATTCAGCATCTTAGAGATTCTGTTTCTCATTCTCCTTTTAAGCTAAAATCCCATCAAAGATTCAATTAGGAGATGGATATTGCTGTTTAGTATATTGTACGCCTGTAAAGAAAATGATGTTGGAATTCTGAATTTATAGCTTATCTGTGGAGAAGGAGCTTCCTTTTTCTTTCAGATTTTGCAGGCATGAAATGGTGATTATATCTGAGGAGAAGCATAGTAAAGCATTCTCCATTTCCACTGTTTTCCTTTAACTGACAGTCTTGTCAGTGATGTTTCAGAGCCCCTGCAGCAATCTCCCCCCTACCTGGACTGCTTCTCTCACACCCCAAGGAGATTGTGCACCTGTAGGGCCCAGTGCCGATGGCATCCAAATCATTGCTGTGGCTGACTTGAAGGAAATCACCAGGTGACACTATAAATATTTATCAGCTCTCAGCACTGGTTTTGCAGTACGTCTGACTAGTCAACAATATTACTAGAAAGATAATCAGGGTGTGTTATTTCCCATTTTCTAAAGCTTTGGTAGAGGTGTCAGCACAGTGGCATAGTGGGTAAAGCCGCCACCTGCGGCTTGGCATCCCATATGGACACCAGTTTGAGTCCCGGCTGCTCCACTTTTGATCCCGCTCCCTGCTAATGAGCCTGGGAAGGCAGTGGAAGATGGCCCAAGTACTTTGTCCACTGTACCTACATGGGAGACCCGGAAGAAACTCCAAGCTTCTGGCTCCAGCTTAACCCAGCCCTGGCCATTTTGCCCATTTGGGGAGTGAGCCAGCAGATGGAAGATATTTCTTTCTCTCTCTGCCTCTGCTTCTCCCTCTTGTAACTTTACCTTTCAAATAAAGAAAGAAATCTTTAAAAAAATTTTTTAAATAAAGCTTCAGTAGAAAAATGTTTGCAGGTGTTTGTTGTTTTTCTTCAGTACGTACAGTACATAGTAATATTGTATGCTTCTTTAGCACTATTTCCAGGGTTTCATAGTCAACCAGTTAGAGGCCGTGTTAATCTTCACTTTTTTTATTATATCTGGATACTCATGGAATTTCTGGCAACAGCAAAAGAGGAAATACTTAGTATTTGTCTATAGGAAATAATCGAGGTAGTGTTTCATTAGAGACTCAACATTTGTTACCCCCATAGCTTTTTTCATGAATTTTTTTCAACAGAATTCTTCAATTGTGTAGTTAAACTTTCTGACAATAGCATAAGCATTCATGTTAAAATTGCTACTCTGATTCTGAAAGTCTAGTTCAAAAGCTTTAACTCTGAGGAAATTTAAATTTCCATTCATAAACTAATCATAAACCAATTTTAATGGACAAAGTCTTTTAAGAACAATTTTTATTTGGGTTTTCCATAAAGTGACCTTCACATGTCACTGTAGAGCTTGCTTTTTGCTTGTGGTGTGCCAGTAGCTTTTGACTGATGCTAAACTTTGTTGGTATGTGTCCCATTTTTAAAAAGAATTGCGTTTGAATTGTTATATCATTACTACTTTAGATCAGTGATTAGGAAACCCTCTAAAAATTACTAGGTTTTTCAGATTGGCAGGTGAGTGAACAAAACAATTTGCAAGATTCAAAAATCAGCTAGGAAAAATTTACCTTTAAATATTTTATTTATAATAAGATAGAAATTTATGGGGCCAGTGCTGTGGCATAGAAGGCTAAGCCTTCTCTTGCTGTACCAGAATCCCATAAGGGCACTGAGTCCCGGCTGCTCTGCTTCCGATTCAGCTCCCTGCTGATGGCATGGAAAAGCAGAGGAAGATGGCCCAAGTACTTAGGCCCCTGCACCTGCATAGAAGACCTGAAAGAAACCCCTGGCTCCTGGCTCCTGGATTCGGATCAGCCCAGTTCTGGCCATTGCAGCCATTTGTTGAGTGATCCAGCAGATGGGAGACCTCTCTGTCTCTCTCTCTCTCTCTCTGTCTCTCTCTCTTTTTAACTCTCCCTCTCAAGTAAATAAATAAAAATCTTAATATTAAGAAAAAATTTATTTGTGACAATACTTAATGGTACAGCATTGAAAACATTATAGTCTAGAAAATAATATTAATGTTAATTAAGGTTTCTTGCCTTGGTCTGTAATATACGATCCAGGTGGACAGCTTAAGTAAAGAGTGGCAGGGCAGAATGAGAATCCATGAGCTTTCTTATGACCTTAAGGACTTTTGATCAGCTTTTTTACATCTCAGAGAAAAGTGATTTTATTAACACTTATCTAGTTTTGCTTTCATCTTTCTCCATACAGAGGAATTAAAGAATTTGTTATTGCAACATTGTAAAAGCTGCGCAGTGCTTTTATCTTTCTTATTTTGCTTTTCCAAGGCTGTTTTGCTCTTACCATTCTATTTTGGGTCCCAGGGAGTTTACAGAAGAGGACAGTGCATCTACAAGCAGCGGCTTGCCTTGCGCACCATAACCGGACACCTCAGATTTGGGCCTTTCTGATGCATAGTTTCTTAGATATCTGAAGTGTTCTGAGATTTTTTTTTTAAGATTTATTTGTGTATTTGAAAGGCAGTGTTAGAGACATAGACAAATAGAGGTCTTCCATCTGCTGGTTCACTCCTCAAATGGCTGCAGCAGCTGGGGCTGGGCCAGGCCAAAGCCAGGAGCCAAGAGCTTCTTCTGGGTCTCCCATGTGGGTGCAGAGCCCAAGCATTTGGGCCATCCTCCACTGCTTTCCCAGGTGCATTAGCAGGGAGCTGGATCAAAGGTGGAACAGCTAGGGACTTGAACATGTGTCCAGGTGGCTTTACCAGCTATGCCACAGTGCCGGCCTCAAGATGTGTTCTTATATTGAAAAAAAGAAGTAAGATTTAAATGAAATGTGTTCTGTTATTTTTAATTTTTTATTTTTTATTTTTAGTTTTATTTAAAAAGCTGAGTGAAAAAGAGTTGAAGAGAGATGGAATGTCATTTCCTTAATATATAAATATATGGCACAATAAAAAGGGTTGCCTGATCAAATGTACCTGAGAAATACCTATTCAAACAAAGTTAAATAGTTGCATTTGTTTTCATACTAAGGCAGTTTAATGTATGTGCACTGGGAAGGGAGGAAGCTAGCAGTATGCCAGAAGCTTCCACTTGCTTGACTACTGACCCTTCCTTAGAGTCTCTCTCCTGAGACTAAACGTGCTTTAGAAATGTCTCAACAGTATGCCTTTCTCCCCGTGTACTGAAACCTCAGTTTGTCTATTTTGAAACTAGGGTGCTGTATGCTTAATTGAATTTTTTGTAAGAAATCAAAAGTTATTTTTATCATAACCCTTGAAGTTGGAAAACTATAAAATGCACTGCAAATCTTGCCTGCCCCTTTATGAATTATGCCTATTATCATTTCGTCTCCGTGGGAACCTCCTGTGCTTCCAAATTGCATCCTGTTTGTCACAGCTCATTGTCCAACCCTATCAGTTTCTTATAGTTTACTTCCTTTACCTGAAAAATAACGAATACCAACTTTTTTTTCTTATTGTATAAGTTGATTACTCTTTAAATGTTTTACAATGCTTGGTTACAAAAAAGGAATGAAAAGAAAACGTTTCATTTTATTGACCTTAGAAAGCTAAAATCTAAAATTATTATCCTTCAGCTAAACATATGAAAAGATTTTAAAAACTTGACTTACATTGGATACCTCTCACCAAATATGAAGAATTCCATGAATTATTTTTGTTTTTTCCATCTTTTTATTTTTTCCATGAAATTTCAAGTGTTGTTTTTACCTAAAGTAGGTAATAGTCAGTGGACTTGACTAATACAGTTGTCATTGGGCCCAGCAAGGGTAATGGTCCATCTTGCAGACAATATTCGTAGAATCTCTACTACTAGTTGGTCAGTGTTTTAAAAGTTCTTCTGCTTGCTAATGCAAAGCAGCATACTTAAAGTTAGACAACATAAAATCAAGTTCCAATTTGCTTGATGTGCTTTTGCTTGTTTTTTCCTCTCAGGTTTATTGTGGTTGGTTTTATCTTGTTAAAAAAAAAAAATGAATCATGGCCGGCGCCGCAGCTCACTAGGCTAATCCTCCACCTTGCGGCGCCGGCACACCGGGTTCTAGTCCCGGTTGGGGTGCCGGATTCTGTCCTGGTTGCCCCTCTTCCAGGCCAGCTCTCTGCTGTGGCCAGGGAGTGCAGTGGAGGATGGCCCAAGTCCTTGGGCCCTGCACCCCATGGGAGACCAGGATAAGTACCTGGCTCCTGCCAACGGATCAGCGCGGTGCGCCGGCCGCAGAGCGCCAGCCGCGGCAGCCATTGGAGGGTGAACCAACGGCAAAGGAAGACCTTTCCCTCTGTCTCTCTCACTGTCCACTCTGCCTGTCAAAAAATAAAATTAAAAAAAAAAAATGAATCATACCACTTCATCCAGGTGATCAAAGTTTATCTCAAGAATAATAAGCTGCTGGAGTCCCTGGGTTGGAGTCCTGCCCCACTCTCCATCCCAGCTTCCTGCTAATGCACACCTGGTAGGCAGCGAGTGGTGGCCCAAGTACTTGGGTCCCTGCCCCTCACATAGGAATCGTGTGGATTTTGCAGGCATTTAGAGAGTGAATCAACAGATTGGAGTTCTCTCTCTCAATCTCTCTGCCTTTCAAATAAAATAAATATTTTTTAAAAATAAATGTAATATGGCTTCCTGGATGAGACTCAGATAATTAAAAGGCATTATATAAAAACTAAAGAAATCTGAATATAGTGTAGACTTTAGTTCATAAAAGCAGTGTTGAAGGCCGGCGCCGTGGCTCAATAGGCTAATCCTCCACCTTGCGGCGCCGGCACACCGGGTTCTAGTCCCGGTCGGGGTGCCGGATTCTGTCCCGGTTGCCCCTCTTCCAGGCCAGCTCTCTGCTATGGCCAGGGAGTGCAGTGGAGGATGGCCCAGGTGCTTGGGCCCTGCACCCCATGGGAGACCAGGAAAAGCACCTGGATCCTGGCTCCTGCCATCGGATCAGCGCGGTGCGCCGGCTGCAGCGGCGGCCATTGGAGGGTGAACCAACGGCAAAGGAAGACCTTTCTCTCTCTGTCTCTCTCTCTCACTGTCCACTCTGCCTGTCAAAAATAAAAAAAAAAAATAAATAAAAAATAAAAAAATAAAAATAAAAAAAAAGCAGTGTTGATTCATTAATTGTGAAAAATGTACCTTATTGATAATGTAAAATGTTACTGACAGAAGAAACTGCGTGAGGGGGTATATGGAAACCCCACTATCTTTGTAAATTTTTTTATAAAATTGAAAGGTTACTTATGTTTTAAAAATCTATGCTGTATACACAAATAATTTTCCATAAGTGGTCTCATCCCAGATAGGCAAGGGATGGAGATTGAGGGTGTGGTTTGTGTGGTCTTCAGTTTTTCTTATTTCTCTCCTCCCTTGTTTTCTCTCTTCTCTCCTCATGTTCCTCCCCTCCTTTGACCACGTTAGGATGCAGTATGTATGCCGATATACTTCATGAATCCATCTCCTTCATCGTCCTGTTCACTGTAGGCACGATGGGACTATCATGGTCAGCTGTGCTTCGCTCAGCACTCTCGCTTGAGCTGGGCTCCCATTGCTAACCTTATGTCTCTGGCAGGAGTGAGTAGTTTTTATGACTCTTCTCTCACCACAGTTAACAGGTTACTGGTGTGCCTCTTACCCAAGCCAGGTCAATCTTGAGTCCTTTGCAAAATTTTCAACATGGACCTGAGAAAAAATTTCTTAAATGCCAAGCCCTGTGGCCTGCACTTTGACATTCAGCGCCACAGTTAATTGAGTCATTGCAGATTCTTGTGGTAGGCCAGACCTTTGGAGCCCGGTTTGAGTTCCATGGTGGCAAGAAGAATATCTTAGACTCGACTCCAGTGTGTTTTTACTTAGCAAAAGCAACAAATACGCACTGAAAAGATCTTAATGGGACAAAAAAGTGTAGAGGAGTTTTTGGCTCCCCAGAGATCTGCTGTCTAACCCACTTTTCTGCCATGGAAGATTGGGATTTTTGAAGCCTGAGTAGACTAAATCCAGGGGAGCAGAGGAGCACAGAACATGACCTCCTTGCCTTCTCTGCCCCGAGCTGCGGCAGACGTCAAAACAGCTGTCACTGCCATAAGAGGCAGTCACATGCCCACGAGGGCTAACTTCTACTTCCCCACTGTCTGGGAACAGGCCTGGCCATGGCCCGCACAGTGCTGACCAAGTTAGAGCTAAGCCTTATTTTCCAAATTAGAAAATTCAGAGAGATGCCCTGAACTTCCTAGAGCCCCTCTGCTAAGTAGCCTCGCTTGCTAGTCTGCTGAGACCTACTTCAGCCTGACTCTGCAACCTGCATCCTGCAGACACCCTTCCAATGCTCAGCTGTTTCCTTGGTGAGGCCGGAAAAGCAGTCCAGTTTGTATACTTTTCACCTTTGTTCAGGTCACATGAGTAGAGTAACATCAATGATGACAGCAGTCGTCTTAATCTACAGGTCAGTGACATGAGTTAAAGTAAACCATTGTATTAATCAGCAAAAACTTCAATATCCTTTCCTTGCCAGGCCGAGTAGGGATAGAGTGTAAGACGTCATTCCTGGAGCCGGCACTGTGCCACAACAGGTTAAAACCTTGGCCCAAAGCGCCAACAACTCGTATGGGCGCTGGTTCTAGTCCTGGCTGCTCCTCTAATGATCCAGCTCTCTGTTATGGCCTGGGCAAGCAGTAGAAGATGGCCCTAGTCCTTGGGCCCCTGCACCCACGTGAGAGACCCGGAAGAAGCACCTGGCTCCTGGCTTCGGATCGGTGCAGCTCTGGCTGTTGCAGCCATCTGGGGAGTGAACCAGTGGATGGAAGACCTCTCTCTCTCTACCTCTCTCTGTAACTCTGTCTTTCAAATAAATAAAATAAATCTTAAAAAAAAAGTCATTCCTCCCATGAAGAACGTGTGGTATTTGGGGAGATAATAATGATTAATGCTGGCATGTAGCATGTGCTCCCTCTGCACCAGCCCTTGGGCTCACCCACCTGGCATGTCCTACCTCAGCAATATAAACACTGGCAGTCTGATGCTAATTGAGTGGCCAGCGAGACAGACTAAAAGCACTCAGTGGAGGGTTAGCATGTACTAAGTAAGACAAATATGGCAGCATCCTAACTAGCAGTTAATAGAAGGGCACAGTATGGCCATTGAGAATCAGTGGACTGAAACCAGGCCTTCTGTGGATATCTTTGTGGTCTGCAGTTGAGAATCTTTATACTGTCCTTCTCCTGCATAACCAGATGTTACGAAAGAAGACCAAGCACGGGAACATCCAGGCGATGGAAGAACAATGGTGCTGCTCTTTGGGCTTATACTTCTACTTGAGTTGTGGCAAGCGTTGCTGATTACCTACCCACTCTTCATTCTGACATTCTTTTTCACAGTCAGAACCCTGATTTTGTTTATAACAGAAATGTGCTCAGACTAAAAAGAAAGAAAAAATATCCCATCCTCTCGCAATGAGGCATGCAAAAGCAGTGCGGCTCTGGCCAACGAGATGTAAACATAAGTCCCTGCGCAGGGCTCCTGGAAGCTCTTCATTCAGCCAGCGTGCCCTGTGTTTTTTGCTTGTTGCCCTTTCCCTCTTTCATGTTGCTGGAGGTGCAGCAGTTGTTTTGCAACCTTGGGAAAAGACACTTGAAAATCAAAGTGAGTGGCAAGGAAGACTTTGCTGGAAGAAGGAAGCCAGCAGGGTCCATGAGGGAGTCTCGTAGTCGCTTCCCCCAGCAGCTTAGCACGCCCGCCTCCAGCTCCTCCATACATGAGGAAAGAAGTCCTCTGTATTAAGCACTCCACATTTGGTGGCAGTCATGTACCTGACAGACTTGTTTTCATTAGAATTATGAGGCCTTACCTTGTTAACAATAAATTAGGTCTCCAGGCCCGCTATGAAAATAGGCCATTAGTGGATACCATTGACTGGTTTCCCAAGGGAAATCCACAGCTGTTGGAATTTAAACATTGGGATGTTGATTTACATTGTTTTGTTTAGAGATGGTTATAGTGAAGGCACTGGTTCAAGGTCTTAGTTCTACTTACCTCACTATATAAAAACCAGTTGATTAATTTGCTAACTGCTTATTTCTGAGCTACATTTTCTTTTCAGAGTATATATTTATTTATAGTATACACAAAATATGCAGTCTTGTTAACTATATTGGAAATTCAAACAATTTAGCATTGATTTTTTTTTTCTACAATTCATTTGCTTTTTGGAGGGCATTGTTTTTAACTGACTTTCCTGGTCAGTTAATACAAATCATTGAACAGACTTTATAGATCAACTTCTAGATAGACACACTCATGTGGGCAAAAAGT